TGGCGTTTGATATTAATTAATGACAGTTTCGGAAAACAGGATAAGTTTAGTAAGATGGCAAATGTCAAAAGTTAACTACTCAAATAGCCTAGTCCCAGACCCTTTTTAGCTTGCATAATTGAAGTGTTGGTCACGGGAAATACGGTCCAGAAGAACTTGCATGGGCCATAAATGTGTTGTGACCAACGTCACTAAGCTATGCACGTAGTGATGCGATGTTTGTCGTGTCTTAGGTATATTTTAATGAAGCCATGCAGCATCAAAATATAAATTTGTACTAAGTTTCTTCTATTTTACGTAAAACAGCGCATCAACGTCTTATATCGAAGTTGAAGTTAAATTTTTGAATGACGTCACATAAAACATACCGTGATTGACAATAATGTCAGGTTGACTTCGTTTTTGCCCTGAAATAAGTCAAATCAGGACGAACTGCATTCAGTTTTCTCACGGTCATGTGATATGTGGCGTCTCACGACATCGATATCAACCATTGTTTAAAAATAAGAAAAGTCTTTTGGGTAAGATATAACATTCTGACGCTTTTTGACAAAGCTTTGCATTGCCAGAAATTTCGGACAAAATGGCGTCGGGCATGCGCATTTTGCATAACAATGGAGGCCMTACAGCCATATAAAATGTATGGGAGACGGTAAACTTTCCTAAATAAGAAATCTAATTCTTTATATTTCTCTCTTCTCTACCTCGAATAATAATCGCGAATGCAGTGGTTACATGTTAGACCTAAAAAGAGCTTCTAGAATATTATCCTCGTCGTTCCTCGGTTTCTGACTTTTTCTGCACTCAAAGGCCATACATTCTCTCTTAATTTGCTATAAATTTGCATACCTTAGTCACTTCAAGATGAAAATTGTATACGAAATCGTCGACTTGRACAACTTCTCCGCATCGGTTCACGTAGACGAGTGTTCAGGTGATTCAAAACAGCTTTTAGACTGCGATATAAAACTACTTTGAAGGTTCCCACGAAGGATGAACTTTGGTTATTTTCTAGGCTAGAAGTCGCCATGATATCTCTTAAAAATTCCAAAAACACGCTTAAAAAAAGAATCAAAACACACCAAAATAATCGCTGTGCTGCCATTTTGCTTTTCGAAGCTTTTATTGCATGCTGGGAAGCAATCAGGGAGCCCAAGGCCTTCCTTTTTTGATTTTCACGTTTGCAGTGGATTTAGAGGTCTTGGGCTTCCTGTGGCGAAACATAACAATAGAAATTGGACCTTTTTTTGGAAAATCGCTCTATATTATCATATTTCTGTTTTATAAGCCTTTATTTAGTACTGGTATGTCTTTTCAAGCCGTATTTGTACTTTTTTTCTTAAAAATAACAACATTCTATGATTTTTGATAAATGTCCCAAATTTCTGGCAATGGACAGACATGGCTGTTCGGTTTACTTGTGCTCTCCAAAACTCCACATGAATACAGATGCACAAAGGCGGACAAAGTTTGGAAGAGTCGGTAGACTTAGACTCGGACTAAAACTGTGCAACCCAAGTGAAAATGCACAGGGCGCTTTGCTTAATTGTATTAATTGATGAGTGACAGTTTCGGAAAACAGGATAAGTTTAGTAAGATGGCAAATGTCAAAAGTTAACTACTCAAATAGCCCAATCCCAGACCCTTTTTAGCTCGCATAATTGAATGTTGGTCACGGAAAATACGTTCCAGAAGAACTTGCATGGGCCATAAATGTGTTGTGACCAACGTCACCAAGCTATGCACGTAGTGCTGCGATGTTTGTCGTGCCTTAGGTATATTTTAATGAAGCCATGCAGCATCAAAATATAAACTTGTACGAAGTTTCTTCTATTTTACGTAAAACAGCGCATCAACGTCTTATATCGAAGTTGGAAGTTAAATTTTTGTCTAATCTTTCCACAGTCTTGTGTGATGAATGACGTCACATAAAACATACCGTGATTGACAATAATGTCAGGCTGACTTCGTTTTTGCCCTGAAATAAGTCAAATCAGGACGAACTGCATTCAGTTTTCTCACGGTTATGTGATATGTGGCGTCTCACGACATCGATATCAACCATTGTTTAAAAGTAAGAAAAGTCTTTTGGGCAACATATAACATTCTGAAGCTTTTTGACAAAGCTTTGACAGACATGGCTGTTCGGTTTATTTGTGCTCTCCAAAAATTCACATGAATACAGATGCACAAAGGCGGACAAAGTTTGGAAGAGTCGGTAGACTTAGACTCGGACTAAAACTGTGCAACCCAAGTGAAAATGCACAGGGCSCTTTGCTTAATTGTATTAATTGATGTTGTTTTTATGTTTATTTCACTTTGTGAATATTCTTTTCGGTAGTGAGAAAGGTACGTTCTTCTCCGCCTAAGATGCATAAGGAAAACGAACCCGGTGAATCAATCTATACGGAAATCCCYGAGCATCGAAACAATGGTTGTATTGCTGGAACAGCTGCTTCATCTCAAGGTATACTTTTAAAACAATTTATGATCGATCGTCAAAATTGTTATTTGAATATCCACGAAACGAAGTCGAGTAGATAAATGATAATTTTGGATCATACCACAAAAAAACTATCACGTGTTTTTAGTCTGCCTGACGGACTTTTCGCCTTCGGCTCTAGATTTTTTACGACTTTTTCGTGTTCTTTCAACATCCCGCGTGGTTTATTTCTCCAGGAACGCACGAAAATGTATTGTTTATTGCTTAATTATTTAAGTAATAGAACAAGAGAAAGTGAAAGAATTCCGAAATAATACTGTTGTTCTACAAGGTTGCATACACAAGCTTGGTACTGCCTGACGAAAGAACTAAATGACAGGCAATCGGATTTTTTGAAAAATATTGCTAGAAAAATAATAATTTCTAGTGACTGAACAAGAAAAGGTTGCATAGACAACATCAAATTTTTGATTTCCTGACGGAGTGTTGCGAAAAACTCGTGAACACCAGGCAATCGATTTTTCATTTTTTTTTTTTTTTGAAAAATTTAAAGAACAAACACAAGTTAAAGCAAGAGAACAAGTGAAATTAAAAGAATCCGAAAATACATCTTTCGACAAGGTTGATTTACACGAAACTACGGCACTAGGATTGCCTGACGGAGTGCTACGAAAGACTAAATCTCAGGCTATCTATTGTTTTGAAAAATATTGCTAGATGAAAATATCATGTGAATGAGCAAGAAATTTGCCAAGAAGTCGGAAATGCAACTTTTCAACTAACATAGATTCTTTAGATAAACACTTTGACACAGAGAAATACGTTTTAGTACGTACGGTAGTCGTGCGATAGAGGCAATTTCGTAAGACTGGGAAACCGTACGACTACGGTACGGCTATGATACGGATTCATTCGATCCTATTTTAATTAATCGAAAGAAATAATGATAATGGCACTGAAAAAGGCTTATTTTCCGAACAAAACATTTTAGAGGAATAGGCCCTTTGCAGCTGGGGGTCACGTGACCACACCTACCTTGAATGAACCAGCAATGACAAAATGATGTTCAAAAATGGAAAGAGGGGATCAAAATAAATAAGAAGACATAGTTTCAAGTCTTAACACTAAATATTTCAAAATTGATAGCAAAGATATTTTTTTCCTGAAGAATAGAACTTGCTCTCCAGTTCTATTTTCCCATACGTTTCTTTAGAAAAATCCGAATATTTTATATTTTACACTTGCTGTCATTTTTGAAGTATTTAGAGTTGAGACTTGAGATTTTACTATTTTACCAACATAAACCTGCTCTTTCCATTTCTGAACATCATTTTTTGATAGCTGATTGATTTAAGGWAGGTGTGGTCACGTGATCCCAAGCTGCAAAGGGCTTATTGTCAAGCAAGCAGTAAAAAAACGTTATGCTTGAAAATTACCAACTGAACAAGTCACATGCGAGTGCTTGAATACCCGACTAAGCTTGACAAACTAAAAACTTTCCGACAATGAATTGCAAATATTCTAAATGCTTAAAAAAACTTATTCAACTGTTTTATTTATTAAGAAGTTCAATTTATCAAGCTGGCATGAAGAGACTAAATGAGACTACATTTTCTCAACATATTGACCCCATGCACTGAGGTATTGAAATGCCGAAAAAGAGAGGGATATTGATATAAAAATCTTCAAATCTAAACATCCGACAGTCATTGTATAAAATTCCCCTACATACAAAAAAGTGATTCCCATTGACATTTATCCTTAAAAGGCTTTCTGATGGAATTTTGTCTGTCGAAAAAAACTTCGCAAAAAGGTATTAAGAATTCAGCAAATGGTGTTGTGTGACGAGATGACGTAGCCCACTTGTCAGTAGAAAGTCTCTCAGCCAATCAGGAATCACGCTTACGATACAGCTAAAGTGCGGTACGGAGCGAGCGCCGTATTTACCCAATGAGCGATTAGACTTACGATACACAGTTATTTGTTCTAGGATAAAATGCCGTATTTATCCAATCAAAAACTTTACTTACGATTGTAAACTTGTCCAATCAAATTTCAACATTGGAATTGTCAACAAACCAGAATTGATAAGTACGATACGGTTACGGTACGTTAACGTTACGGATGCGATTCGTCATCACCGTTTCCCAGTCATGCGAAATCGCCTCTATTTTGAATAGCTTGACGTGGTTGTTACGAAAAACTAAACGTCGGGCAATTAATTTTTCTTTCTCCAAAAAATTGATAGAACAACCATAAGTAATACAACTGTTCAACAAGGTTACACAATCTTGCTGATATCCGATTACCTGACCCGGAGTGTTCACAAATGAAACCCTGCAGGCAGGGTGAAACGTCCCAGGCAGCGATCTGTGTTTTGCAATATATGCATAGAGTAGGGGCATGGGGGGTTAGTTAGTCCCTATAATGGTCTATAATACTACCAGAATAAAATTTGATATCAAGTTTGATTCAATAATAAATATTGCAAGGCTAAAAGCACAAAATAAAGAATCATTTGCGAGGAATATCAAACTAAGGAGACTTAGTCTCTGTACAGAGAAATAAAATATAAGATCTTGATCTTCATACCTAAAAAACAGCCAACAGATACATTTGGTTGTTGAAAATTATGATCAATGATATAGAAATCGTTTATGTGAACAAAATGTACTTAGCATGTTACATTGCATGTCAGAGAACAGATTGCATTTGTGATGGTAAAAAGCTCAAAAACAATCATCAAAATATGCTGAATCTTTGATGTATTCAAACTGATGCCAATTATTAAAAAAAGAAGTTCAAGATTATAAAAATAACAACCACACAACTAATGCAATCTTTGTGTTACTGTGCTATATGCTTACATAATATTAGCAAAATTTATTTTTACTTTGGATTGTCTTGGGTTTTTTGATAGTGAATTTTCTAGGAGATATTAAGCTTATAACTTATTGTGGAATTTTAAAATAATCTTGAGCAAAGATGACATAATATTAACCAGACCTAAACATCAAACCAATGCACAAGTTTATGTACTGAATATAATGTGAAATATTATTGCTCTGTTCAGCAGAGTGCTCAATTTGAATTTATAATTAAAGTTGTAACTATTGTTGTCTTTTGCTCTTGGCATCTTCTTACATGTAAATTGTCGATTTGTCCAAGGCAAGCGTTTGTATTTTCTAGATTTTCTCGCAGATTAACTGTTAGTTGAGCCTCGAATATTGCATTTTAACATTTACATTTTAACATTTACATGTCGTTTCTTCGAGCTTTTTCTTTGGAGACAAACGGCTTTTACAGGAGTCAATTTTATATTTCGGTGATTCCTTCGTAGCAAGTCTCCCCGTCTCAAGCGACGGCCAACGATGTTTTCCTCAATAATGTAATTACAGGTTAATTGAAACCAGACATAGCGCTTTATAAAACTCCAGGCCATCGCATTATAATATTATGTTCGCTTGTTTTAAGCTTAGCCAGTCATTTGGCCAGTCATTGGCACGATTACTTGAGATAGATAGATAGATAGATAGTTTTATTAAAAATACCTTTGCAGCCAAAGGGCTGAATTACGGCATATTACAAGCTAAAAAAAGAGATAAATACAAATAGAAATAGAAAAATATATATATAAAAATTATATACAATAGAATACATATAAACTATATAACTAAAATACTATATAACTATATAACGAAAATACTAAATAAAAAACTAAAATATTTCACTAATTACTTAAAAGAAGGACATGGCTTCTGAATCAAAAATCGATCGCATGCGATAAGATAAAACTATTTTTAAAACGATTTGTTTTGACGGTTGGAATCCGGAATTTGCGATTGTGTCTTAGTGACCTTGAACAACTATTCAGAGGGGGTAGCAAGTTATGGAGATTATGATTTTCATCTTTCACGATATCACTGAAAAGGCGTTCAGCTAAGTGCTTCCTACGACTGTGCATTAAGACTAGGTTCGAAGCTTTAAGAGCTTCAGCATAACTAAAGTCAGGATAGATTATTCTTAAAGCCCGTTTCTGTATTCTTTCAAGCTCATCWGAAAGGTAGGCAGGTAAATTATTATGAAAAAGTGGTGATGCATATTCTGTTACAGGTCTTATGCAAGTTACATAAAAACATAGTAATTCCTCAGTATCGGCCTTTGCACGCTTAAATTGCCTTAAGAAATACAGCCTAGATGCAGCCTTCCTGGTAACTTCTAAGACATGGTTGTTCCATTTTAGGTCTTTGGAAATAGTAAGGCCTAGTAATTTGGCATTAGAAACAACTTCTATAGAATTGTTATTAATTACTATAGGGGAAAAATCACTACATGATTTTGAAAAAGTGATTCGTAATTCTTTACATTTAGCCTCATTAAGTTGAAATCGATCTGCCTTAGTTTCTTGAACAAGGTCGTCTACTACTGACTGCATATTACTGACGTCATTCTTTTGAACAGTCTCGGCAATCGTAGTATCATCCACGTACACAGCATGAAAAAAGAGATTTAAGCAACTTTAAGTCAAGCGTAAAGCTGCTTAAAGTTCTTTAAGGAGCTGTAAGCTCAATTTAAGCGAACTTTACAACGTTTAAAGCTNGAGTAGATAAATGATAATTTTGGATCATACCACAAAAAAACTATCACGTGTTTTTAGTCTGCCTGACGGACTTTTCGCCTTCGGCTCTAGATTTTTTACGACTTTTTCGTGTTCTTTCAACATCCCGCGTGGTTTATTTCTCCAGGAACGCACGAAAATGTATTGTTTATTGCTTAATTATTTTAAGTAATAGAACAAGAGAAAATGAAAGAATTCCGAAATAATACTGTTGTTCTACAAGGTTGCATACACAAGCTTGGTACTGCCTGACGAAACAAGTAAATGACAGGCAATCGGATTTTTTGAAAAATATTGCTAGAAAAATAATAATTTCAAGTGACTGAACAAGAAGGTTGCATAGACAATATCAAATTTTTGATTTCCTGACAATCGTTCCTGGCAATCGATTTTTCATTTTCTTTTT